CTTCCCCAGAGGTGTCAGATGGCAGGCAGGGAGGGGAAAAAAAATCCTTGTTGTTCTGCAGTGAAGTTTAAAATCCAAAATCAGCTAAAATTTGGCATCTTCCATGTTTCAGGGGTGTACTTGGTAGCCATGTTGGTCTGAGACAAAAAAATTTGGATTTTAAACTTCATTGCAGAACAAGGAAGGGTTTTTTTTTGTTACCTCCCTGCCTGCCATCTGACACCTCCGGGGAAGGAATCCTACCTGATCAACACATCAAAGAGCTACTCAGCACAGCTCACAAAGACACTCCCATGGACCCAGAGGGACAGACTTCCATCTTCAACTCCCTCTGTGCAAAACTGAAGTTTATTTCCTACCTATGGGGACTTTTTACCATCTTGTACCATCTACACTTCTCCCAGAGCCTGACAAAGGGACTTTAGTCCCGAAAGCTTGCAGAAAAGGACAATTTTCTTGCCATTTCCCAGTTGGTCTAATAAAAGATAACATTTTGGAAACAAGAGTTCTAGTTTTTTGTATGTCTTAGCAACTTTGAACATTTTTGTCCCTTATCTGTGCTTTGCATGAGCACTGAAAAACACACTGGCCTTTAAATAAGCTAAATTTTAGCCCATTGCCTGTGTACAGAGGAGACTTCAGTGCAACCAAAGAAGATGTACTTAAATGCTTCCTGAGAAGGGCCACACACTCCAAGGAGCAATTTCCCCATCTGTAAACTGGAGATGATCATTTTTTTTTATTTCACAGGACTGTTACCAGGCAGGATTAATAGAATACCTATGGATAAAAAATGCTGAGACCAGTGTAGCAGAATGCAGCAAACATATCTACCATCTCTGTTTACTAAGATATAGTTTTATTTCATGTCTATCAGAGCTAGACTTTTACCTTTAGACAAAGTTGAGGCAAGTATAGGACCTTTCCCAGAGTGCCAGGCAAATAACTAGAAGCACGCACCAGACTGAAAAGTAGAGGATTAAAGACACCATTTAATTGATCCACACACACATGAAAAGAAACTACACCAGATGATTTACACATTTACTCTCCCGGGAAAGGGAATGAAGGGTTTAGGATGGAAGGCACTTAATAGACCTAGTTGTTAGTCCAAAGACCACTTACATCTTACAGATCTTGACCAATATAAAACCCAAGTGGTACTAGGTCCACACCAAAATACATACCAGATTTACATTCAGACTATTTATTTTATTATTCTTGGAAACCTAAATCATTTCATGAAGTGCCTTGCCTCCTGAGATTTAAAGACAGACAAGGAAGACTACAGTCACTAGAGAGTGGATTTAATCAAACGCGGCTAAATTAAAGTAGCAGGTAGAGAAATAAGATTTGAGATGATAGGTCTGTGGAAGAAGGCATTGATGAAACATTGGGTAAAGGGAAAGCTACCAATACAACCAGCAATGACATTGTTTCAGATCTTGATGCTCCTTTCAAGAAAAGGGGCAAAGGGAGATTGTGAATAACTTTCTTATCCATCATTGCATACCCAGAATCTACAATCCCTCTCCTTCTGGGCTTTTAAACCTCCACCTTATACTTTGTAGAAGTGGTGATGCTTCAGACTGAAAGACTTCTGAACTTCAGCCAACAGCATTGGAGGAGTATGGTATGACCATAATATGGTGTGTGCTACAAATATACACAAGCACTTAAAGGGCATGCAGAAGACAGATTACAGGGGGTGTAACTTCTGGTGAATGAGACAGGTAGGAATACCACATGATCAATGTGACATTCTTCAATGGCAAACAAAGTACTCCAAATCAGTTCATTAGAAGAATTCAAAAAAAGCATAAATTGGCAAAGCAGTGAAGAAGGAAAACTAATGATTTAGGATGAAAAGTAAAAAAAAAAAAAAAAAAACACCTTTGCATAACAAAATACAGGACATAGTCTCAGACACTCCCTTGGAAATAATTTACATTACTTCAGGTTCCAGTAAGGCCCTGCAGGTAGGTTAATTAGCTCCACTTTAAAAATGACAGAGTAAAATACTTGCCTACTGAAGCAGAAACACTGGGGGAGGTTGGGCTGGTTGGACTGCCATACAACAAGCCTTGAGAGGTTGTAGGGAGGAAGGCGTGTGCGAAATCTAGTTATGTTAACTATCCTTATTTGGTAGCCAGAAGCAAAACCATCTGTGGTTACTAGAAATGCATTACATTTTAAGGCATTCACTGAATTATAGTAGTCACCAAGCCTGTCCACAGAGATGACTGCCTATCACACAGGTAAGAAGCATAAGAGAAAAAAAAGGAAGAAAAAACCAATGTGCCAGTTAAGCATTGGCAAAAGTTTGCATTTCGTTGGTATCACATCCACTGACAAAAAGCCTGAATTTGTTGCGAATTATTTAACGTTTATAAAGGATGTTGTAGTCACCAGCCAATAATATTGATTCCTTGCATTTCACATTCCTGCTTACCTACACAAATTTCTGGAAAGATGGTGGATAAGCTAATAGAGTGAGTCACTGTAAAAGTGACAGATTAACTGCGCTAAAAATAAACAAACAGCTATCACTTTGTACATTAATTCAACCTGTGATTTGAGCTCTTAATTACAGCTAGGAACCTGATTTATCATTCGACAGTTTTTAGGCTGCCACCAACCCAATAGTAAAGCCCTAATGAGCTCTTCTAATTGAAAGAACTGGCCATAGGCTGTGGAATGGGGTGGGCCACCCGGGCCATGGCCCAACCAACTTTTAGCACATTAATTTATATAACCCACAAATGCACAATTGTCATTGTGGTTAAAACTGTATAGCTATGTTTTTAACCACAAAGCTAGCTAAATTAACGTGCTAAAAATTGGTCGGGCCCTGGCCCAGGTGGCCCACCCCATTCCGCGGGCTATGGAACTGGCCAAGTTCTACCCTAAGGTTACAATGGTGTAAACATCTGGAGGAATTCCCAAACTACCAGTATTTCATAGATTTCATAGACGTTAGGGCTATTTGTTCTGTACATACCCCTGAGGGCAATCAGGAAACTTGATCAGCTTTCTGCATTGGCCTGAAGAGGGGTTGGGTTATAATAAAACTCTGTTTCTTTGATTAGTTAGGGAAAAGAGGTCCAAGAGAAATATCAATATGCAATGTTAACTACAGGTGCAACTGAAGGGAAAATGTCTTTTTTATAATGCTCTGTTTCAAGGTAATCTTTCAAAAAATTCTAAAGAAGTATTGAATACAATGGAGCTTTGAATTCTATTCTTAAATATATTTTCAAATGAATGAAAATGATCATATTTATTTTTTTTAAATAAATCCTATCCTAGAGATTGTTTTAAGCATATATTCAAGAAAGCAATTAAGCAAGGGCTTAATCTGAAGGACATGGTAAATCCCCTGCTTAATTGTTTTGCAGAACTGGGCCGGAATATCAAATCATTTAAACTATTTGGGGCGTAAGCTAAAAATAATCATTTAGTTAAAGGAAAATGTCAATGTTGCACTAATCAGCTCTTCTGAAAGACTGCTCCTCCTTAATTGTCCTCAGTTCAGTGAATACATATTAAACCCTGAAATTCCAAGAACCCTGTAGTAATTGCCTTTAACAGGACTTGTTTAGCTAAGCCCCATGCAACTTAGTAAGAATATAGGACAACATTTTCAAATCCAGGCACCTGAAACTAAATTTCTAAGTCTAATTTTAGTTGCCCAAATCAATAATACACAAGCACTCTAGTTGCCATCTATTGTAATGAAATGTGTAGGGGCTCAGCCCTTCTGAAAATGACACTTTATTAACAGGTTTGAATATGGATTCAGGCTACCAAGTTTGAAGTAGATTGGGCACAGTGTCTGTGTACAACTTCAGTATATAGGCTCAAAGAGAGGGACAATGTTTTCAGTGCTTTGACTTTATACCAGACCAATAGCTTCTAGAATACTGCCTGTATTTCATAATGTTAGGTTTAGACTTTCGGCATTTGATTAAAAACTTTGAATTTGCCAAAATATACATTTTAAGCTCATGCTTTAATACCTCTTCCTGAATGAAATATGTTAGAAAAACAAATACACTGTTTTCTTAAACCACAGCAAACCCACAAACTCAACATATCTCACTGTAATTTTGTAAGATGTGTACTAATGTTTTCTAATTTCCTCACTTAATCTAACTGCACAGCTGTACCATTACTGCCAACTGCTATTAGATAGTTAAACAGCCAGCTCCTAAACTGCATTTTACTACAAAGCTTCTCCTACATGATTTTTACAATGTTTTATAATGACCAGGGTGTTGCAGTTTAAACCGTTAAAATCTTTATATCCTTAATGCAAAGAGCACGTCTCTCCTATTTTTATACCAGTATTCACACATTTCCACACTGCTTAACATTACCTATTAAAACAAAGCGTAGTACAGTATATGGTGTAGCGTATTGTTTCAAGTAACTGTCTGCTGCTGAAAAATGACAGCAAGCCATTATTAAGACCAAGATCACAGCACACAAATTCTTTCATCCTAAAACATATTTCACTGACATTTATTTTCATTGAGTTCAACCTTTTAGTCAAGTCCCAGAGTGCAGACACAGTTGGCGGAGGTGACCTACGTATTTTACAATCATCAACAGATAATGATAAATCCCCTGCTTAATTGTTTTGCAGAACTGGGCCCGAATATCAAATCATTTAAACTATTTGGGCCATTATAAACAGATAATATAATGGAGGCATTGCATAACCACTGCTGCTTTTCAACAGGAGTCACCACAGGGTAACTGCAAAGTAATGCATGTTATTTCACACACCTTGTGTGATGGAGGTAACCAAGTAATTAATTCATGTCATTGCCTGGAACCTTTTTTTATTTATAATTTTATCTTTCCTGTTATGAAGAGCTGAACTTGTGTTCCATTATGAACTGAAATAATTATCCCCTAGTTTTACTCTTGTAGTCATTTTTTTTTGAAGTTTAAAGAAAATTGAAAAAAATTAAATCATCCTATTACAAACTTACCAGTTTCTTCATCTGTGCTAAATCTTCCAAGGCCACTGCCATCCCTGATGGAATACTGGATCTCCCCATCCCGTCCAGAGTCTTCATCTCGTGCTACCACTTGCAAAACGCTTGTTCCAATGCGGGAGTTCTCCTTTACAGATCCAATGACAGCAAAGTCAGGAAAATAAGGGGTGTAGAGATTTTCATTAACATCCACCACTTCCACCTCCACAAAAGAAACAGAAGAAAGAGACACCGGACGTCCTTTGTCTTTTGCACGCACGGTCAGGTTATAGAACTGCTGTTTCTCGTAATCAAGTTCTTTGTTCAAGCGGATGGCACCGCTTGCTTTGTCTATCTCAAATCGCCCATTGTAATCATTCACCAGTGAGTAACGTACTTGACCTCCCAAGCCAAGATCTGGATCATGAGTTTCTAACCAAGCTATCACAGTGCCAACTGGCAGATCTTCAAGAACTTTAACACTGTAGCTGGATGGTATAAAAGCTGGAGAACAATCATTTACATCATCCAAAAAAACCTTCAGAGGCACAACAGAAAATTGTTGATGGCCATTCTCCGATTTGTCCCTGGCCTCTATTTTTAGTGTGTAGTTTGCTTTTGATTCTCTGTCTAAATGATCAGCTACATAAACTACTCCAGTAGAACTATTGATGGCAAATTGCTTCGTATCTGTCAGTACCGAGTAAGTCACTTCCCCATTGGATCCTAGATCTTTATCTCTGGCTTCTACTTGGATGATCTCTGTACCAAGACTAGTACTTTCTAAAATATTAACCAAGTAACTGTCCTGTAAAAAAATAGGCCTGTTGTCATTTGCGTCCCCAACTGTTACAGTCAGTAGCCTCCATGTAGATTTCTGAGGATTACCTAAATCATAAATTGTAATATTAAGGAGATACAGCTCTGTTTTCTCACGGTCCATGGGCATAAGAACTTTAAGCAGTCCTGTCTCCATGTCTATGTCAAAGCAACTATCTGTGTTACCATCAGAAATTGTGTAGACAACTTTCCCATTAAAGCCAGAGTCTGCATCGTATGCCTTTATCCTTAGGATGCTAGCACCAACAGGCAGATCCTCCATAACCATTACTTCAGAAGGAAAGGATTTATCAAAGTGGGGAGCCTGCCTGTTCACTGAATAAAAATCAAGGAAACCATCTTCCAAATTCAGCTTCACATTTGCTTTTGCCTTTTTGAGCAATTTTTCTGCTAGCTTCTGAGCAACCCTAGTTTCTCTACAGCTAAAGGTCTTTGAGGACACTTTGCCATGGACTACTGAAATGTTGACAAATATGGCATCAGCAAAATTCTCTCCGTCAGTAGCTGTTATTTTAAGGGCAAAAATGTTGTTCTTTATGCCAGAATTAATCAGAGATTTTTTAAGTTGCAGAACACCAGAGTCAGGATTTAAATAAAAAATTCCAAGCTCATTTCCAGAGATTATCTTGTACTTCACCAGTTCTAGCTCATCTATATCTATTGCAGAAACAGCAGTGATGTGACCACCAACAGGAAAGTCAGATGAAATGACTCCCTGACATGCCACTTTTTCAAACAAAGGTTTGTTATCGTTGACATTTCCTACGAATATTGTGACATTAACCTCACTTTCATGGCGATATGGTGACCCCCAATCTGAGGCTCTGACAATGAACCTATAGCTCTCTGGAGAGGATTCAAAATCCAGTTCTTCAGATGTGCTAATAATACCAGTAAACTGGTTTATAGTGAATGGCAGTGAATTCAGACTGGCAATGCTGTATGTTATATATCCATTTTCTCCCCTGTCTTTGTCAAATGCTGAAACAGACAGAATGCTGGTTCCCACAGGAACACTTTCGTTGATGAAAGAGCTATATGAAGGCTGTTTGAACTCTGGAGTGTGATCATTGACATCTTCTAGCCTGACAATAACTTGAGCTTTTAAATCACCACCTTTGTTTACCACTTCCAATTCATAGAGTTCCTTTTCAATGATTTTCAAGGGATGAGCAGTGGTAATAAGCCCTGTCCTGGGATTAATTTTAAAAAAATCAGCATCCAGATTAGGAGATATTCTATATTCCATGCCCTGTGGTTCAGGTGTCAGCTTCACTATAGCAACAACCACTCCAGGAGGAGAAAACTCACTGATTGACACATCATAGACTTCTTTTTCAAACTTTACTGGGACACTTTCTCTTTTGGGACTAGCAATATGGACCATTTTAACGGCAGAAAACTTCTGAGGAGATCCTTTGTCCTTTGCTTGGAGAGTAAGGTTGTAAACATACGGGAAGCTGTCCCAATCTATAGGCTTTCTCTCTTTGATTTTGTATTCATTAATCCACTTACCCTCCTTAGCCAGAATGAACTGCTCTAATGGGTCTCCAGCTACAATAGAAACAGATTCAATCTCCCCATTAGCGCCTTCATCGAGGTCATCAATGTTAACAACTGCATATGTCGGTTCCTTGTCTGATGGAAAGGGTACATGAGTTACTACAGTGATAGTTGGGGCATGTTCATTTATACGTTCAATGTGAACATAAAGCTTGGCAGTACTGCTTACTCCATTGTTTCCATAAAGTTTCATCCCACGGTCTACAGCCAGAATTTCAAGGTCATACCTGTTTTTCTCATCATAGTTCAATCGGCCACTTAAGGAGATAACTCCACTGGTTGGATGAACTGAAAAGAGATCAACTTTGTTTTTGAAGTAGTAATAGAATTCACCATTGGACCCAATGTCTGCATCTGTTGCTGTGACCTGTGCAATACTAGTCCTTAAGGGAGTGCTTTCTGCTATTGTTACGGAATACGTGGTTGGGGAAAACAAAGGCCTTAGATCATTCATATCTAAAACCTGGATATTCACTTTAGTCCATGCTTCTAAGTCCTCTCCTCTGACAGACCCTTTAACTATCAATAAATAGTTGTCTTGGATTTCTCTGTTTAAGATAGCAGAATTCCCACCTTTAGTTCTTATTCTTAGGAAACAGAAGTCAGCTATTATGACCTCCTCTGCTTTGAAAAAGCCTTCTTCATCACCAGACACTATCCTGTATTTGATGTCCCACGTAAGATCTGCCAAGGTGATGCCCATTCTAGATTTACTGTTGACATAGGTCCTCGCAGCAGAGTTTTCGTACACAGTAGCATTGTAAATGGAATGTGTAAAGTGAAAGCCGAGTGGTATTGTCCCTTGAAGTCCTTGGCAAACGCTGGCCAACAGCTTGACAAGCAGTAGGGTGAGGCAAGACAGGGAGGGCCGTGTGCCTGACCAGCAGACCATATTCACCTCCATCACATCATCCTTTTATCCTAAGGGGGAAAAAAAAGATAACTGATCAGAGAGAAAGTGGGAGGGGAGAAATGTGTGCTGAAAAGTATCTATATTTCAAAACTATTTCATTAATCGGATAGATAGAAAATAAAATACATGGAACCAGAGTAATGACTATATAGTAAACTTAGCAGAACTGAGGAAAGGAAGATTGGTTCATTATTACTGCTGTAATATAATGCCTGTAACGATAGTATACAACAGCATGATATATAAACACACCACTGTATCATCAGCGTACCTACTGGTTTATAAGCAACAGGAAATCACTAAGAAAAAAAAATAAAGCATGGCCACACGTAGACATGTCATCCAAAATAATCATCACAGTGACATTAGCAAAAACAAAACACAAAGTAGGGGCATTTAAGTCTTATTTAATAAAGTATGCATCCCTAGTCTGACACTTGACACAGTGCTGTAACTAGTAACTGTTGCTATTGCATACAGTTCTTTTTAAAGCTTTATTTAACACAATACTGAGTCTCTGATTCTTAAATGTGACTCCAGAATTTGTAACTATTTCATCAAATGATGACATAGTTTTTCATGATGATAGTTTTTGAACAGGTTTTCACCAGGTGCTTTCCAAAGGGGTTTGGATAATCAAGGGATGCACAGTACAATTATACATATAATGGTATGGAGGGCAAATGCCATCCAACCGTAGACACATAGTCCTGAAAGATAAGATGGTCACTGATTATATCCATAAGGGAGCAGCAATACATAAAATACTGATCAGTTTATTTATCTAATGTATAGGCTTACAAATGAAAATCTGCATTAAGAATGAACTCAAGATTTCTTAATAGAAAATCATAGGATCATATAAAACTAGGATTGGAAGGGACCTCAGGAGGTCATCTAGTTCAACCCCATGCTCGAAGCAGGACCATCTTCCAAACAGATCATCCCAGCCAAAGCTTTGTCTACCTGGATCTTAAAAACCTCCAAGGATGGAGATTTAACAACCTCTCTGGGTAATCTGTTCCAGTGTTTAACTACCCTCCTAGTGAAAAAAAATCTTCCTAAAATGTAACCTAAACTTCCCTTGCTGCAACTGGAGACCATTGCTCCTTGTTCTGTCATCTGCCACCACTGAGAACAGTCCAGCTCCATCCTCTTTAGAACCTGCTTCAGGTAGTTGAAGGCCATTATTAAATCCCCTCTCAGCCTTCCCTTCTCTAGACTAAATACACCTAGTTCCCTCAGCCTCTCCTCAGAAGTCATGTCCCCTAGCCCCCTCACCATTTTAGCTGTCCTCTGCTGGACTCTCTCCAATTTGTCCACATCCTTTGTGTAGTGGGGGGCCCAAAACTGCACACTACTCCAGATGTCGCCTCATCAATGCTGAATAGAGGGGAAGAATCACTTCCCTTGCCCTTCTGGCAACACACCTACCAGTGCAGCCCAGTATGCTGTTAGTTTTTTGGCAACAAGGGCACACTGTTGAACATATATGAACACATATGCAGGTAAGTGTATGCATAGACACACACAAAGTAGAGTGTGATGTAAAAACTGAGGTTGCAAAGTGAAGCACCCAAAGTAAGTGTTCAAGTCAGAAATGCCAAAGTTTAGCCTGGTTCGTAAGATGTTACCTCCTCATGCATATGCATTTCAGTACAGTCTGTAATTACAGGATCACGTACTATTCATTATGTATGTTAGATAATGCACAGTGAATAGGGAAGCAATTCAGTATTTTTATTTGCACTGTTCAGGAGATGGCCGTTGCCCTGTTCAGTGTACACTATCCAAGTTCTGTTATTTGTAAGACAGGTCCTTCAGCCTACTGACTCATACACCACAAACTGTCCTTTCTAACTAATGAGACTTTAATGGAGTCTCATTTATACTGGCATAATTTATGAATCTCAAGATTTGCAACATGGTATTATGAACAGAATGTGACAGTGGTTAAGGCAGGCACAACTCCATCTTATTCAATATATATCTATGTCTTGTTCACTACACAGACCACCTTGCACATAATATTTTTAGATCCAGCTGTTAAAACATTCAAGATTTCATGCATATATGCATGCACACACACACACATGCATGCATGCACACATTTCCAGGTTTTTGGTAAAATAATTAAATGTATTGAGCCACATGGTATTTCAAGTATATTTTGATAGTGTAAGAATGATATTGTAGCCAAGATGGTCCAGATATTATGCAAAGGCAAGGATTTCTTAGGGTGGTATCTTTTACTGAGCCAATTGTATAGTTCAGACAGTTAGATGAGCTTTCAAATGCAAGAAACTCTTCAACAGATCACCTACAAATCAGGAGACCTAATGAAGACCATCTAGCATTCGAAACCTTGTCTAACACTACCCCAACTATACAGTTGGTGCAATAAAAGATGTCACTCTAAGAAATCCTTACCTCACGTATATTTTGCTTACTTGTCACCATCACACCACACATTTTGAATTTGTACAAAGTGTTTGTTAGTTAACACTTTTAAAAAAGGACGAGTTTTATAACAAGTATTTTTAAACATCATGAGAATCACGATCTAATGACACCTCCTTCCTGCTTGATAAATAGTTCCTTTAATTTTTTGGGCAAATGCATCAGGAATATTTATTTAAAATTCACTAATAAGAATGATTCTGTTTCTCTAAGTCCCAGGATGTGGTGACAAAACAAATATGTTTTCTCACAAATCCAGAGACATGACTTCATGCCTTGCTCTGGATTTGTGGGTCAATCAGGGCCATGTAAAATGGACATCAGGTCCACTGGGCAGGGGAAATCATCAGATGTGATGATAACCTCAGTGACCCCTTCCTTGTCCTGAGCTATGGAACCTGATGTTCTTGAGCCACACTTCCCTGGTATACCACCTCTGCTTGGCCCACAATCTATCTAAATCAGAGGTGCTCAACCACTGGCCCACGGGCTAGATTCAGCCCATGGCACTGTGTCATCCAGCCCACAGGTCTCCCCATAGGTCCAAACATTTGCTGGTGGGGAAGCAGTGACACTACAGTGCTGCCAAGTTTCCAGAGCCATGGAGAGCCCCAGGCCCAGGCTCTGTTCACTGGATCAGGCACTAAATTCCAGTGTGCAGGGCCAGGCAGGTGCAGTTCTGGGCACCAGGGTCCAATCCTGTTGTGGGGGGCCAGGAAGAGGTGATTTTAGGCCTCCAGGGCCCAATCCCAAGCATGTGAGGTTAGGAAGCTGCACTGGCCCTCCAGGACCCAATTCCACTTCACACACACGGGACAGGGTGGTGCTGGGCTCCTGGGTCCAATCCTGGCAGCCAGAGGAAAGAGGGAGCAGCACAGGTGCAGGGGTGATAGGGAGTGGCACAGGGCCCCCAGGGCCCAGTCCCAATGCACAAGGCTGGATCTGACCTGCAGACTGCTCCTGAGCCACTCATCTAGTCTGGGGGGCCAAAAAGTTGAGCGTTACTGCTCTAAATGAACAGGAATCTTTCCATCAACTTCAGGGGCTTTGAACCATGCTCAGAACAAGCAGAACACTTGAAAACAGATGGTTTTTCAGGCACACTGGGAAGCCTTGGAGTAGACTGCTGCAAATTACTTTCCCTGCTAGTAGTGAAAATCCAAGAAAGTCATTTTTAAAAGACAAACCCTAAAGACCCCCTTGCCCATTGTTTTTAGTGTCATGGAAAGGGGGAAAAAAAGCATTTTTCAAATTGCTGGAAATTATACAAAAAGTCTATGCTAGAACTCAGCATGGGAAGTTTTGTGAAAACTTGCTAGTAATGACACTGGTTAATTTAAGTTTCCATGTAAATTCAATACCCACTAAGAGATTTACAAATTTTCTGTGTTTTAAAAATGAATTCAAGTTAGAGTTATTGATTCTAATATAATTGTATAGCTACTGAACTTCTAAGTGCTAATGCCAGTCAATTTATTGCACTGTTATAATGGTCATACAAAGCACTTAACTTCCTGATCCTGCAGTCTATATTCCAGTGCCTAACACAGTATTCCATAATGTCTGATCAATTCTCCCAAGTGTTTATCAAGACATAAAGCTTTAAAGATCGTTATTTTATGTACCTTTCCCCTTGTGTTTTTTCAGGGTTCCCCCCTCCCTGCTTTTTTTTTAAGCAAAAGATGATATCACCCAATGTCTGGATTTGGTATCTTCAGGTACGGGACAGAAGCCCGTCCAGAGATAGATCAGGATCCTTCTGTAATTTAGAGATGAGTTAGTTCATTCTGTACATATTAGGCCTGTGTGAAGCGGCTAGTATTCACTTTGGATTCGGCTGATTCGGGGGACAGTGATTTGATTTGGTCAGGCAGGGCAGTCATGGGGGGCTGGGGGAAGGGGGAGGTTAAGGGGCTCATGGAAGAGCCCCCTATGTGGCATGGGGCAGTGGAGGCAGCAGGAATCGTCCCCCTCACCTGACAGCACCTGGTGAATCGGGCCTTTTTTTAAACAGCTGGGAGCTGGGGCAGGCAGGGCAGCCATGGGGGAAGTGGGGGAGCAGGGAGGGGATGGGGCTTGGCAGGGGTTCCCCCATGGCCCCCTCCTCCAGCCCCTACTTACCAGCTGTGAGTCCGGCTCCAGCTCCCTGCTGCAGCAGGCAGGGACTGCCCAAATCACCAAAGCTCTCCAAATCCAAATCAATTTGGAGAGATTCAAATCAGTTCAGACCTTTTTATTGGTCCCCTGATTCAATTCAGATTTGGAGATTCAGCTACTGAAATTGGGCTGAATCTCCTCCGAATCGAATCAGCACCCGAAACTTCACACAGCCCTAGTGTCACACAAATAAAATAATCTCTCATGTCACACAAATAAAATAACATTCATGCAGCTATGTGCAGAATGTGCAGTTTCTTAATGGAAATATGCTTCAGGAATTTGTAAGTTCTGGTTTCCTCAAGGTTACATTGCCTTCTGATAGAGTTAAGATAGCATTTTCTCCACTGGTGAGGAAAGATGTGCTTTTTATTGTGATTTCATCCAAAGA